GCTTATCTCTTGCCTCTCATTTCTTATACATTTCACTCTTCTTTGTTGCTTAATAGCAAATGTTTTGTAAACCATTGTTTCAATGGTTTACAAAAATCTTATAACAGTGGAATGATACAAAAAAGAGTATCTTACACTGAGATCAGTGGCACAAGGGTCAGGGAAGGGAATACTTAGTGAATAGGTAAGTTTAAGGGACCTTATTTTTGGTTGTTTCAAGTGAGGGATAAACCTGTTAAAAATCAGCATTAAATACTCCAAGAACATTTAAGTATTTAAGTTCTCTTGTTACCCCCATCATGGTCAAAAGCAAAAGTCCTAAAGGTAGTTTTTAGCTATGGTTAAATCTCATTTTCTTTGCCCAGAGCACCAACAATAATGATGTAACTAATCCCACTGAGGACTTACCATGTTTGCACACTCATAGACATTAAATGGTTTAATATTCATGATAGTTCTGTGGGGGACTCTTATGCCCTGTGAATGAAGACACTGAGGCAAAGGAGGTTGAGTGAGTCTTCTAAGGTGGAACCAGGAGTCCAACCTTCTCAGGATAGCTCCACAGCCCACTGCACTTTGTCATTTTCATTGTTTGGAATGGCTTTTTGTGGACTAGATTAAGAAAGTGGAAATGTATCAGCACATATTTAGCCTCACTACTGGTTAGATTAATGCCTTTACCTAATACATTACTACGTAAGAACCATTCCAGAAGTTCCCCACTCCTGCTCTACAGAAGTATCCTATGAAGATGTCCTGGTTCCTCCTTATCCCAGCATCCAGCATAATGAGTGGTGACAAAAACCAGTGTTTTATGGCATGCACATATATACATAGCCAGTTGATAAAATATTGACCATTCTTTGCCATATTAATATATATTCCAACCATAGTCTGTTAGAGACTGAAACATAAAAAATTAATCTATTAAGGAAGTTATTGATGATAAAGTGAAATCATAAGTATTTCCTCCTACTGTTTTTGGAATATAAGTTTGTAGTCTTATAACTGGGGAAACTATCACTTCCTACCTTGTGTGCATGATATGTATCTTCTCTTTTCAAATACCTCAATGATTGAAATAGTTGGATTATATACAGAGACACTTTTATGAAGACTCTTGTAAAAGCCATTTTAAATGGAATGCCAAGTTGAAATTTGATGTATTCTTTGGATATTTCATCCACATATTGTAATGGATTATTTGTATTCATCATGGATATGTAAAGTTTTATTTATTTAATAGTTAAACAGCAAAAATCTTATAACAGTGGAATGATACAAAAAAGAGCATCTTAGGTAATTTAATTCTCTAGGTAACACTGAGATCAGTGGCACAAGGGTCAGGGAAGGTAATACTTACGCCTGGCGGAGCTCCCCCATCAATGCTTTCAGAGAAATTGCTACTATTGACTTATTGATGAAATGCTTTGTCTCCCAAAATGTTTTTTAAACTTTACATTTATTTTAAATTTATTGCTTTTACAAATTCACTTTGAGTATTTAATGCTGATTTTGAAAAATTATATTTACTGACACTCTGATTTGTTTAAATATTCAAATCTATTTGTGAACATTGTTAGGTAGATAATATTTTATCAGAATGATTACTTTTGGTGAGGCCTATAATAGAGGTTCTATTTATATTTTAAATTATCTGTTGTGATAATGTGTTTTCTTTTATTATAAATGTAAAGTCATGGCTGACTACTTTCTGATGTGTATCTGCAAATTTAATGTGAAGGGTGCATGATTGGCAGTTCATCAAGATTCCTTAATTCTTTGTATTCTTTGTTTCTGGACATTGTCACCAAAGGAGAGCCTTTTTTCTCCTGCTTTTATTTTGAGCTATAAGCTGTTTCTTTACTTCTGTAGTTTCCTTAGCAACCCTGTAAGACTTGAAGATTTTCCCTATGAATTGTATTTCTTCATGACAATATAAGTAAGAAAGTACCAGAGAATAAGAGGATTGTTGCTTGGAGAGGCTAGAACCAGACCTGTCCTGGCCCCTGCTTGTCCCAGCATCCAGCACAGTGAGTGGTGACACAAGCTAGGTGCTACATCAGTATTAATCCAATGGGCCATACTTTTGGAATGAATGGAATTAAGTCAAAATGACATAAGATGGAAAAGATGGAGTTTTAATAATAGAACAAAATTGTGAATATCCTTCAAAGAAGAATTTCAATCTATAGAAGCCTATTTATATCAAGGCCAATGTTTTATATTATACACAGAAATACATAACCAGGTGCTAAAATATTGACCAGTTCTTTACCATTCTAACCATAGTCATAAACGGAGTATATTGAATTGTGTACTATGGATGTCAACAAAAATAATTTGTGAGGTCCTAAACATAATGGGGTTTTCAGTGAAATAAAAATTGGATGCCAGAATGTCTGGTTATGAGCTGATTCTTATCACTGCCACCTCTGAACAGTGAGCACCAGCCCAGTAACCATCATAGGATACTTCTGTAGAGTCAGAGTGAGGAACTTCTGGAAAGGGCTAGATGCTCAGTATTTCAGGCCATGCAGGCCATGTGTGCTCTCTGCTGCATTTTTGTTGTTGTTGATTTTATGTTTAACAACCCTTTACAAATTAGCTCAGGGGTCTGTACGGTAATGGGCTTGAGAGTTATGCAAATATACAGATAAAGAGTGAGAGATCCTAATATTCTAGACTTCAAAAAGCAGTTCCTAAATTTTGTCTATCATTTTAAACCCCTAAAGTTGAGGTTAAGTTTATATCCTTGATGATTTTGAACTACTAGGGCTGTTATACTCACTTAGCTATAGATCTATATTCTAATTTGGTCATCCAATAAGCTTTTAAAAATCTGTCAATGTACATTTTGGATTTTTCTTATAAGATATATTTTGGTGATTAATATATGGTTAACTATTCTAGACAAAGTGTTAGAACATAACTCAAAGCATTAGGACAAAAGGGTTTTAAGGCCATTATTTTGTGTCATGGTTACCCAGTAAAATTTTTACTAGTCCATTTTGCCTGAGAAGAATCTCCAAGAAATATAATTTAGGTGGTTTAAAGCTGTGGATCTCAAAGTATGGTCACCAGCTCAAGCACATGGACAACAGGAGGGAATTTGTTTGAAATGCAGATTCTTAGATTCTACCTCAGACCTGTTCACTCAGAAACTCAGGGCTATGTCTCAGCAATCTGTGTGCAACAAACACTCCAGAAGATTCTGATGCTTTAATAATAATTTAACTATTGCAAAACCATTGTGGCAACAGGGAGGATGAGGGTAAAATCTTTTTGACCAAAATAATCTTGGCAAAATCATGTGCAGAACAAAATTCCTTGTTGGCTAACTGCAAAAGCAAGCCTTAGTTATTTTTAATGCTGTCAGTGACATACATAGGAATATGTACTGCTAAAATGTGAAATCATTTCAATTCTTCATTACCACGATTTCATTATTTCATTGCCATCTAATAAGCTTGAGAGCTTCATTTGAACTTGACTAGTTATATTCTTACCAGGCATGTTTGTTTAATTATAAAATGAAGAGTAATTATTTAGTTTACATGATTTCTAGACAATGTAGTGTTTATATATTACACACTATACATGTGAATTGAACTTCCAAATTTTAAAAAGGACGCTACACATAATAAAAATATTTTAGTCTGAATTAAATGTATGTCCATGTGTACATTGGCCACAACTTTCTGTGAAAGTAAATAACTAACATTGGTTTGAAAGACACGAAGGTCTTTTATTATTTGCTTTGTCTTCATTTAGTACACATGTATTTTTAAAAGACAGTTATGTATGAAAAATGCAAGAGGAGATTTTTTTCTAGGCAATATGAATTCCTTTTTAAAAATTAATAATTAATTAATTAATCAATCAATCATTGTTTCAATACTAGTGATTAAACCCAGTGTGCTCTACCACTGAGCTACATTCCAAGCTCTTTTTTTTTTTTCTTTTATTTTTCCTTTTGAGAGAGGGTCTCATTAAATTTCTCAATTTCAAACTTGAAATCCTCCATCCTCAGTCTCCTATGTCCCTGGGATTATAGGCCAGCACCATGGTGCCATACTGTATGAACTCCTTTGTACTGTTCTCTTTGCAATTGTTTTTGACTGATGATGTGTCTGTGTGCATGTGTTGTGATTGGAATCAAACCCCAGGGCCTTATACGTGCTAGGCAATCACTTACAATGAGTTTCACCCAACCCCTGTATATGAATGATAACATGTAACTTTTTGGCACAAACTGATAAAAGTAGTGTTGATACCAAAAAAGTAAGATATTGTCAGTAAGTTCAGAGAAAAATGGTGGCATCCCAATGGAATGACCTTCTTAGTTATTGAGGTGCATCATAAAATAGGTGTGCCTTTTGTGATTTGACTCAGCCACAACATTGAGAAAAAGTACAGCTTGTATTATCGTGCCCTTCAGATGAGTTTAAAATGGTACTTAGTGAATCTGGGATGTGCATGCATGACTCTTATGACTGGACACCAGTATATTAAAGTGAGAACTGTTAAATGTCTAAACTACTGGGTCACAAACAATAAAGCTATTTACACTGACACCTTTTACCAGTATGTGATAACAGTTTTATCCTTTCCAAACACCAGTAGTGTCAATTTCACATTGAATGAATGTGAAATATACAGGGAGATTTTGTGCAAGGGGGATTAACTTCAGCTTGTTCCCTCATCCTTACTTTTTATTGAATTAGAAAAGCAAATACAAAGATAGGTGCAATTGGAAGGAGAGGAACACAAATACTTCTAGATGATACTGTCTTAAAACAAAAAAAAAAAGTCAGAAAAAGCAAACAGAGAGATGATGTGTGTTAACTCTAGTACCAAGAGGAAGTTGGCAGTGGGTATTTCCACCTATGTTAAGCAAACCAGAAATAGACTACATATGTACATGTGTGTTGACTTATATATTTCAATGCAGTAATGAAAATATATCTGGAATCACTTTTTGACGTTTTCCATTATAGGATCTGAGATGGTTAATTTTGATGGAAAAAGTTTCTTATTGTACACAATTAATCAGAAATCCATCAGTTCAATGAAGGAGATCATTATTTTGAAATTTAAAACCAGGCAGAGTGATGGGATTCTACTCCACAGAGAAGGACAAAATGGCAAACATATCACCCTGGAATTAGTTAAAGGAAAACTCATCTTGTTCTTTAATTCAGGTAAAAGGACAAGGAATTGCTTTTAAAAATGTGATTACTTAGATGAAAATGCTTTTTATACTTTTTTTTTCTTAAGCAGTTAATTTAAACTGAAACCAATCCATTTAAGAATGAAAGAAGGTCTTATAAATAATTCCTTGGCGTGATTGGTACAAACAAGAGCTGTCTAAGCAAGGGGAACATGTTCATCCTACAGTTGTGGCATCTTAGCGGCTACATGTCTGTCTTAACCATGTATTTATGTAAACAGTATTATAGTTTGATAATTGTATAGAGCCATCATCAGCTGTCCAATAAATAACCTGATAATATCATAAAGATGAATGGATGATTGTAAAATTTTGAGGTAGTAGCATTACTTTTCTTCTTTCCTAAGAAGAAAATATTTTTACATTAAGTGAAAATGTCATCAGAAACATTGAATGAATGTGAAATATACAGGGAGATTCCCTGATCCTTACTTTTTATTGAATCAGAAAAGCAAACACAAAGAACAACAAATAAGAGAAGAAATTGCTCAAAGGTCAAAAATATATTGTGTTTAGGATTAACATTAAACTATCTAACTAGCGTTTTTGGATAGGAGGATATAAGGAAAGAGTAATTGCTGTGACAAATCTCCCAGTAGAAACCATAGTATTGAATGGGTGGAATAATACTACATTGACTTTTACTCTCTTCTCAGGTGGTGCTAACCTGCCCTCCCTAGATGCCCAGGTGACCCTCACCTTGGGCAGTCTGCTGGATGACCAACACTGGCATTCTGTCCTCATTGAGGTCCTCAACACACACATCAATTTCACAGTGGACAAACATACTCACCGTTTCCAGGCAGAGGGAGAGCCAGCCTTTTAGATCTTGATTATAAGGTGTGGACATTATAGATTTTGCACTTAAATGAAATATAACCCTCTAGAGAAAGAACTGCTACACTGAATACATACTCTTTCCTAGGAATTCAGAATCTGGTGAATTATTTCCTATGGATTATTATCACACAGTAGGTTGAACACTGCTTATCAACAAGGTACATTCTGAGAAATGCATCATTAGGTGATTTAATTGTAGTGTGAACATTTTAGAGTGTACTTACACCAACCTATATGACTATGGCATCACCAGGCAACATATTCTTATGGGATGCCCACAAATGTGAGGGCCATCATTGAACGTAATTGTAATTCGGCGCATGATGGCACAAATATACACTATTGAGACATTTTATCCTTATGAATGTTAGTCCTCAGATGAGAATAAGCACTCATGCCAGGAAGTTAGGATGTTTTTGGATGAAAAGCTATAAATAAATACAAAAAAAACAATATTTTAAGGCATTCTTTCAGATAAGTATTCTGTATTATATCTAGTGTTTTTGAATGTGAGCCCTGGAAATTTCTTTTGCTTATAGGATAGTAGTAAACAGAATTAGTGACCTGGGATAACCTGGAGAAACAATCAACAAGTATCCTGATGTATTAACGAGAGACAAATGCAGACAAATCAAAATAAATGTTTCTTAGTATTTCTGAAGCCTTAACAATGTTAACAGTGTATTGCCCACATACATCTACTCCACACTGAAATGCAGCATTTGATTTTTTCTGATGATTCTGCTCAGCACATGTATCAGATAGAACAAGAAAACCAGAAAATATTGACATTCATTTGACCTCAGTGGTGGAGATCAATGGAAGATCCTGCTCTTGAATAAGATTATCAATGAATAGACTTTTCCAACCTAAAAATGATATGGAAAAGGCCAGTGCCCTAAAATCTTGGCTACTATAAAGGTTGGCAAAGTCAAATGCCTTCATAGTAGGTGTCATGTCCACAGCCCCAATTGTACCAGGGCACAGTGGGGTAGGTTGTGGGAAAGCCAAAGAAAGTGTCCAGAGATAGCATGAAAGACATGTGATTTATTGGGAAACCCTCACAACAGATCAGTGCTACCTCCAAAAAGAGTTCAGTGTTGACGGGATTGCAGATAGCACTTTTGCCTTTCATGGTGCTTTGACAACTGGTGCCTCTGTTCCTCATGGCACTTTGTCCGGTGGTGGTGGCTGGACTATTAACACATATTCTTCTTTCCACAGTATGCTCAATCTATGCTGATCCCTACTCAGAGAGGGGTTTTATATCTTAGACTGCAGAAGCAGTGCATTCATCAGCATTAGCTGATTAGTTAGCATGTCTAACCAGCATCCTAAGGAGTACTGTCTGGGTGTACATGTAAGAAAATAGCTGTCTACAGTAGCACTTAGTAGCCCTACTTCCCATTTTGTGTAAGAGAAAGCCCAGTTCCTTTAAGATAATATATAACAGGACTTTCCAGCCCAGGCTTGCTCTCAGGGTTTCCTTAACTTGGCAAGGATTTTGGGAACAGAAAGGGGGCATTCAGTAACATGCAGTTTTACTCTTCCCCTTTTCTTTAGGGATGATACACTGGGATAAGTTGTTACACAGATCATCATGGAAATAAATATACAATATTCTCATCTAAAAATGATGACAAGAATCATATGACTAGAGAATTGAGTCTCTCTATAATAAAGACAATGATAAATCTGCATTTTAAAATTTTATTTGTAATTAATATGACAATATAATATGCAAAGCAAATTTGAAGATCATTAATGTTTTGAGCAGATAATCAGAAAATAATTAAATAATATTATTTATATCATTTTATTCTTTCTAAGATCAGCTTTGGAGGGATTCCTGGACTTGGAAAATCAGTGGTGTTCCCACATAAAAGCTTCAATGGGTGTTTTGAAAATCTCTTTTATAATGGAGTGGATATCATTGATTTGTCTAAGAAACACAAACCAGAGATACTCATCATGGTAAGAAAGTCCAAATGTGTGCTTTAGTAGAGAAAAGAGGTGCAATTTGTTTTGTTGATTCCGTTTTAAAATATATTTCTTCTAAAGGTACAAATCATACATATTTTTTGTTTATGTTTGATATAATTTTTCTATATATATGAAATGGATACATAATGTTACAAAAAATGAAATGAGATTATGTAACAGTTTTTAATACACTTTTTGTGGTAATAAGAATACTTAACATGAGATCCACTTTCTTAAGAAATTCTTAAGTGTGCAATAACGTATTAACTATAGGCAGATCTCTAGAATTTATTTGTCTTCCTTAACTGAAACTTACATGAGTTATGTGGCAAATCCCCATTTTCCTCTGCTCTTATTCCCTGGTAACTACCATTCTATTCTCTGCTTCTCTGAGTTTGACTGTTTTATATAACCCATTTAAGTGGAATCATGCAGTATATGTCCTTCTGCAAATGGCTTATTTCTCTTAGCATAATGTTCTCCTGGTTCATATATATATATATATATATATATATATATATATATATATATATATTGCTGCATATGGCAGGATTTCCTTTTAAAAGTTGAATAATATTCCAGTTTGTGTGTGTTTTCTATATCCACTCATCCTCTGATAGATGTTTATATTGTTTTCTACATTTGGGCTATTGTGAATAATGGTAGTAAACATGGGAGTGAAAAATATTTTTGAGATCTTCATTTCAAATCTTTCAAATAAATACCCAGAAATGGGATTGCTGGATCATTTGGTAGTTGTAGTCTTCACCTTTTGAGGAACCTCCGCTTGACTTTCCCTAGTGACTGCATCATTTTATATTCCCACCAACATACTTGTTTTGCTGTTGAGTTTCTGGAGTTCCTTGTATGTTTTGGAAGTTAATCATTTGTCAGATATACAGTGGGTAAACCTCTTCCTCCACAGGTTACCTTTTCACTCCTGGTTGTTTCCTTTGTTCTACAGTACTGTTTTTAGTTTGAGGTACTCCCACTTGTCTATTTTTGCTTATATTATTGTATTTCTAGTGTCATAACCAAGAAATAATTGCCAAGGCCATGTCATAAAGCTTTCCCCTGTTTTGTCTTATGGTTTTGCAGTTCTTGGTCTTACATTTACTGTGCCTTTAATCTATTTTGAGTAGAGTTTTGCTTATGGTGCCCAACAGAGTCCAATATACAGTTTTCCCCACACCAATTATTGCAGAGACCATCCTTTCCCTGTGATATATTCTGGGCACTCTTGTGGAACATCGGGTGCCTTGTATATGTGTGGATTTATTTTTGGTTTTTATTCTGTTTCTTTTGTTGATATGTTTATCTTCATGCTCATACCATTATCTTTCAATTACTGTAACTTTAAAATATATATTGAAAACAAAATATATGATGTCTCCAGCTCTCTTCTTTTTTTTTCTCAAGATTGCTTTGGCTATATAGGATCTTCTATGGTTCTATATGAAATTTAGGGCTATTTTCTATTTCAATAAAAAATGCCATAGGGATTTTGGTAATGAATGGATTGACTCTGTATATTACTTTGTATAGTATTGCCATTTTAACAGTACTATTGTACCATTCATGAACATGACATGTTTCTCTGTCTTATTTATTTTATCTTTGTTTTGGAGTTTTCTATATACTCCAAGTTTTCATGTTTTCTTACCTTCTTAGTTAAGTTTATCCTCAGTGTTTTATTCTTCTTGATGGTACTGTAAATGAGAGTGCTTTCTTAATTTCTCTGTTTGTCAGCTTTCTGTCACTGTGACAATATACTTGTGATTATCAATTTATAAGGAAGAAAGGTTTATTTTGGCTCAGAGTTTCATAGGTTTCATTCTATGGTCACTGGACCATAGAGAGAACCAGGCTTGTAACACATGAGCCTTGAGGGAGCATTAGGACTCCAGCTTCTTCTTTTTGCTCTCTTTGCTTCCTAGCTGCCATGAGGTGAATAGGCCTCCTTGGTCATATGCTTTCACCATGATATACTTTCTCACAATAGGCCCAAAGCAGCAGAGTCAAGCAACCCATAGACTGAAATCTCTGAAACTGTGAGCCAAAATAAATCTTCCCTTCTTATGAGTTGATTGGTATTCTCTCACACTTAGTCAGAAAGCTAACACAGAAACACAACAGATTATTTTTGTGTTGATATTTTTTATCCTACAACTTCATTACTTTTTCTCATTAATTATAGTTTTTAAAAATATTTTTATTATTGATGAGCCTTTCTTCCTTCCTTCCTTCCTTCCTTCCTTTCTTCCTTTCTTCCTTTTGTGCTGAGAATCCAATGCCTCACACATGCTAGGCAAGTGCTCTACCACTGAGCCACAACCTCAGCCCTAATTACAATTTTTTAAATATTTAGTATCTTTTCTAAGGTGTCACCTGCAAAAAGTGATAACTTTACCTCTTCCTTTCCAATTCAGGTGCTTTTTGTTTCTTTATCTTGCCTAATTGCTGACTCTGGTTTTTATTAAGATGTTGACTATAAATGGTAGGGCATTCTTACTTTATTCTTCAAGGAAAAACTTTTATTTTTTTTCACCATTGAGCATATTAGCTGTAGGTTTTCTACATATGACTTTTATTATGTTGAGGTTATATCCTTCTATTCTTAATTGTTGGAGTTTTTAGCATGAAATGGTGTTGAATTTTCTCAAATGACTTCTGTGCATCAATTGAAATAATCAAGTGATTCTTTAAATCCTTTGTTCTATTTATTTAGTCTATTACATTAATTGATTTTCATATATTGACCCACCCTTACATCCCAAGAGTAAATCCCACTTAGTCATAATGTGTTATTCCTTTAATCATGTTGTTGAATTCAGTCCTCTTATATTTTGTTGTATATTTTTTCTGTGTTCATCAGAAGTATTATTTTCTGGTTTTGCTTTGTAAATCATCTATAATTTTAGTTGTAGGGGCATTGCTGGTCTCTGCATGAGTTTGGAAATGTTCTCTTCTATGTTTTTAAAAGAGTTTGAGAAGAATTGGCTTCAATTCTTTAAATATTTCTTTGGTGGGATATTTTAATCATCATTTCGGGATTCTTACTATTCTAGTTCCAGATCTATTGAGATTGCCTCTTTCTTCATCACTTGTTATTTTTTAAAAAATATTTAATTTTTTAGTTGTACACAATGCCTTTATTTTTATTTGTTTTTATGTAGTGCTGAGGATCGAACCCAGGGCCTCACGTGTGCTAGGCGAGTGCTCTACCGCTGAGCCACAACCCCACACCCTCATCACTTGTTATTAATAGGTTATACCTTTGTGGAAATTTATGCATTTCTTCTATGTCATCAAATTTGTTGGCATTTAATTGATCTTACAGTCTCTTAGTATCCTTTTAATTTGTGTGTTATCAGTTATAATGCCTTTTCTTTCATATCTGGTCTTATTTATTTCAGTTTTCCCTTTTATCTTGTGTAACTAAAACTGTGTGAATTTTCTCAATTTTTTTTTCAAAAAACCAACTCAATTTTATTAATTTTTCTATTCTTTCCTTCATTGGTTTATCTTCTAACCTTTATAATTTCGTTTCTTTGATGAGGTGGGTGGGCTTTGTTTCTTTGCCTAGTTCTTTGAGTTATAAAGTTTGGTTTTTGTTTTATATCTTCCTTCATTTTCAGAGTGGGCATGAATTATCATGTTCTATTCCATAAATTGTGACATGGAGTGTTCTCATGTTCATTTGTCTCGTGGTATTTTCTAATTCCTTTTTCTTTCTTTCTTTTTTTTAAAAAAATTATTTGTTTGTCTTTATGTGGTGCTGAGGATTGAACCCAGTGCCTCACACATGCCAGGCAAGTGCTCTGTCACTGAGCTACAGCCCCAGCCCTAATTCCTTTTTCAATGTATGCTTTGATGCACTGGATTATTCCAGAGACCTTTTATTACCAGGAGTGGCAGCACATGTTTTTAATTCTAATTCCTGAGGAGACTGAGGCAGGAGGATCAGAAGATCAAGGTCTGCTTGGGAAATTTAGCAAAATTTCCCAAAATAAAAATAAAATTGGGGGAAAAAAAAAGAAACAGTGGGCACGTAGCTTAGTGGTAAAGTGCATGCCTGCATGCCTTACATATATGGTGCCCTGGTTTCAGACCCCAGTACCAAAAACAAACAAACAAATAGAAAAAGGCATAGTGTTTAATTTTTACACATTTGTGAATTTTCCAGTTTTCCTTCACCTGTTGAATTCCAGTTTATTCCATAGTGATCAGAAAATAACTTTTTAATGAGTTTAGTCTTAAATTTGTTATGACTTGTTTTGTGACCTAGTATGTGATCTATCCTAGAGAAAGTTTCATATGTGTTTGAGAAGAATGTGTATTCTGCTATTGAGTAGAATTCACTGTGTATACAATTTGGTGTACATTGTTGTTCAAATATACTGTTTCTTTTTTTATTTTCTGTGGTGATGGTTCTATCCAGTTTTGGAAGTTGGACATTGAAGTATCCTACTATATTGAATTGCTTCAGTTGTGTCAATGTTTGCTTTATATATTTAGGTTCTCTGATGTTAGTACATTTATTTTTATAATTATCGTATCTTACTGGTGAATTGACACTTTTATTATTCTTTGATGTTATTAAAGTTTTGTCTCTGGTAATACTTTTTGACTCAAAATTTATTTTGGTTGATATATATTTAGCCACCCATGCTGTATTTTGGTTATAACTTGCATGGAATATTTTGTTGCATTACTTAACTCAGACTGTATCTGTTCTTATATGTAAACCTGAGTCTCTTGTAGAAACACATATTTGGATCTTGATTTTTCATCTGTTCAATCACTCTTGTGTCTTTTGGTTGAGGAATTTAATTTATTCATAGTAAAGCAATCATTAATGAGGAAGGTGAATATTTTTGCTTATAGCATTTCTAACACTAAATGTGTGTGGTATCTTTCCTTCTGATGCCAAATTTATGTTACCTTTTCTAACACCAGTTCTCCAATTCTTGGACACCAGCTGTGTGTCC